CGCCATTGATTGAAACAGTAGAAATAAAGTTTATGGCAATGATGCGACATGAGGATATCCGTAACACGTCATTTGGATGTGCCCTCGATTGCAAGTAACATATTTCTTATGGAGAGGTCCCAAGTGCGATAGATTGGACGTGTAATGAGAATACTATAGGAGAGTCCGTTCTTACACGTTCTTTATTTTACAATGCAAATCTGTATATAACATCCGGTGCTGCAGAGCTCGAGAACGTTAACATATGCACGTTTTTACATGCAGCGGCGATTCACGCATTTGTGGCCACTGTCCTCATATAGGTCACATGCCGCTGTTTCTGATGGCTTGCACGCCGCCGTCGTGTTAGTTACGTTACACATTCCACTAGAATAATAGTGACTCGCCAGTTGCACTCTCTTGAAGAAGACACAGGGAACATGACCAATGGCAAACCGCGATTTGATGGTTCGATTATATGAAGAACCTGCTGTGGTATCGAAAACGCATATAAAGTTAGAATCGTTCGGTTAGAGAAAGGTAATGGTTAGTTAGAGTAGCTGTATTTGCTTTGAAGAGAGAGGAAAAAAAGCGTAAAGGATTGGTGTCTCTTTAGCAGATCAAGAAATGGTCAAAGAACCGTTGAACCTTTGGGAAGCAAGAAGCTAACGCAGTTCTTCTTAATATTAAAGCAACACGTGAAAGCATGGAACAGGAGAGATTAACTTCATAAGAATAGCTGGACAGTCATGTTGTGGCGAAGTGGAAGCACATTTCTAATAATGTATAATGCCATGGATTTACTTACTCGTACTCTATTGTTGACAGAGCCCTCTGAGTCCTCTGATTCGATACTCCCCTTCCACCAACGTATTTGAAATTGCAAACTGTCGTAAACACTTCATATACCGATGGTCTTGTGCAGTGCATCGTCGGCCTTGTGCAGATAAACAGCAACTCGGATATCATACGGTGGGAAATTCAATAAAGTTACTGTAAATGCAGTTTGATTTGAAGAGGCGTTCGCAGCAGCGTATAAAGAAGCCCATCATGGTGTGTCAGGAAATCAAGTGCATTGTTTAGAGTGGGATGTGCTATTCATCCAATTAGGCCCATGTGGGTGCTGATGCAAACATTAATCAACATTTGACGCAGGATAATTCAGGGAAAATAGTAGTCAGGAGCATCGGAGGATGACGACAACTTACTCGTCAAGTAGAAATAATGTCATCTACCAGGCAGTAGCCATACGAACATGAAAACCAGTAAAAAAGCTTTTTTGACTTGTGAATTCAGTACTCTTTAAACAAATCATTTCTCACCTCCAACTCCTCATCGTTGTCGAAATCGCAGAGACACATGGAGCGTACGTTTGCACCTGCTACCTAAAGAACAACCAACGTGGTACAGAATCTCGACCTTGGGATTAAAGTACTAGTTGCGTTATTTTGTTTATGATTATTGGGTAATTAAGTTTCATGAAAAAAAAACAGCTATCGCTTATTATCATTATTAGCTCGATGTTATTGGAGCGCACTAAATCTGACTACAGAACAGTTAACATTACTAATCCGCCGTAAAATTCTGAAATAGAGATAATAAAAATTTCCTATTAAAATGACGTATAAATCAAATCAACGGCATTGTGTTATTTCGTTACTGAAATTGTTTTTTCATCGTTTCTGATGATGTAAGGAAGTGGTGTCTCAGTGCCAAACAGATCAGCTTCAAACTCCGGAGGTGCTGAGTTCGATTTCGTCAGAGAACACTCTTTGTTTTAAGCACGAACTTTCTTGTACAAGGAATTTAAAAAACGTTGCGTCAGGCAGGGATTGCTCAATCGGTAGATTGTCTGAGTGTAGAAGTTCCGGGTTCTAGCCATCGTCTGAGTCCCCCGTGTTTCTTCCTTCCGAGGTTGATGAATGAGCATCACTTCATGGGAAGAAAATTAAAATTGCAAGGTATGCTGGGCACATGGCTGTGGATTCAATCTTTAACAAATATAAAGTTTCCTGATTGACCAACGGAGACGGAGATCAGTGCCTCATCGTAAATTTTTTTTAAGGAAGGGCGTCAGACTGACTGAATCGTAAACTCGTGAGGAAGATCAATCTTCCAATGGTTACAGACTTCCTCTTCTATTTTATCTCCCATTTCTAATCTGAAGGCAGACGATTCTTTTATATAACAGTAAATCATGACCCTCCATTACGCGATGATTATTCAATGATAAAAGATGGATTTACGTCTCAGCTGTGATTCTGAGTGAAAATATCTGTGATACATTTAAATGACCCATAAACAAAAATGTTTTAATTGGCGGATAGTTCTTTCAAGATCAAATTTAAAGTTTTATTGCATCTCTTTTGCTCCCAGATGTCGACGGGGCTATATAAGCTTACAAAGCTGAATAATACTCGAGTATTTCATGTCATTTTTTCCATGGAGCCACATATTCAAGTCAAGACAATGTTTCATGATAAAAAGTCATTGATTCAGAACAGTGACGATACGCAAAATGCGAAAGACTGATCTTCTAAGACGAATCAATGGTCTTCGGCTTGAAGAACATTAAAGGCTGAAAAAACAAAATGCGAATTCGGACGTTTTGGACAGCGACTGCATTGCCGGGTCCATCGTCGAGTCAAAAACGTGCATGAGTACATAAAATAAAATAAAAGAGTCACTCACGCTCCAAAACGCATCGTTTCCTTTCCAATCGAAACCTTGCACGAAACAGTTTCCTCCGCAAATAGCAATCGGTGAATCAGATTTGCCAAATCGCCCAGCAGCGATGCAATTCACACCATCCGGAATCTATGGCAAAAGTTATAATTTAAACAGAAGCCTTGATCTAATAAGTTTTATCAAAACCGATACTAAGGAACTTTTGCAACTTTATTAAAAACAAAGCTCCTCGAAACATGAATGAACACAACTAGTAAACACCGAAAGAAAATGGTACCGACGCATGATAAATGGCATATATACGCAAATATTTCCTCTCATCATCTGTTTCTCCTTCTTCATATTTTTCTTATCGCTTTTGGAGTTTTGGGCACCTTTGAAAGTTCATTCATCCAGTGCAAACTGGTGTATTTCTGAGCAACATCGAACTGCCCTTTCTTTTATCTTTTCTTTTTCAATGTTCCATGAATGGTTTGATCCAACTGCTGATATGAAGGTCTGAAATCTCGACACAGTTTCTGTGCTGGCGCCATCTATCCGGAACACTGACGTAAAATTTGATCTTGCTGGCTCATCATTGATGCCAAGATGGGGTGACCTACCAGTAATTTCTGAATTGTTGCCTAGCAATTTGCCCCTGTCACGATCCCATATATTTGACGTCGTTTCTATGAAAATAAGATCGGAAAGAAATAGTCGTTGTTTGGTAGAAAATTGAATTGCCGGAACGTACAATCAGGAAATCATACCTGAACTGAGATCGGACAGGTCATTGGCACACTGCTGGCCAGTGTAAACAAAACAATCAATGTTTTTCCATATAGCCTGAACACAGTTTGTACGTCAACACCAAACGAGTAGAATAAATTGCACTTCATGGAATCAGAGAAGAACGTCCCACCGACTTTGACGTAGCATTAATTTCACGTACAAAACCAACCGAGCTTGCAGCTGGTCAGAGTTCTCGGTACTTTGACTAGCGTATTCGATTTGAAGGTGCTCCTCAGGAGGTCCTTTTCATTAACATCATGCATTCATCTGAACACTGTCATTTCTAAAGACTTCAACTGCTACTCAAGTCTTTTCAATGTCACTCTGCATCCAGCAATGTACAAAAGCATTTGTCTTACGACAGTTTTATAGATCCGTTGTCTTTAGCATGAAAAGCATGTTTTGTAGTGAGGCAAACCTTTAACAATTTATATGATTCCTTTATGATAGATTTTTACCCATTGCTGCAAAACACATCATCTTTTATCATAGAGGCAAGATGCATGAATGATAAAATTTAGTCTCATTCACTCACTCACTCATTTTCACAGCCCGCTACTCTTGTCCGAACATGCAGATAACGACTGCTTTAGAATGCCTTTCTTATATTTCAGTTTGCAATCAAGCATACAAGGCCCTTGGTCTGAATTCCAAGCAGTACTGATTCGTTTAATTTCCTTATTGAAATGCTGCGCAAGCTGCATTATTTTTGCCGATGCAAAATTGCCTTTTATTCTTTGAATTTTTGCCATACCATCGCTACTTCGCTAACTTGGAGAACTAACTATGAGGCTGCCATTTGTGCCTGGTCAGCTAGAGCGTTTTAATACAATGAATAAAACAGACGGTGTACTGCCCTTTCATTTATTATAACCAGGTAATGACTACATATGCACAAAGTAATTTTTTACCTCGTCAGATACCTTCTAGGATACGTAAAAACCAAATCTGCCAAAATATACACCAAAACAAAATGCTACCTATCGAAATGACCTGCACCTTCATTTCGTAGCTAGATCGGCGCTACGAACAAAGGGTAAATTATTTATTATCTAGGAGCCTTTAAACTTTATGAGAGTCACAAATAATCAGGCAAACTCCACCATTGCCGGTCCCAAGCCCGGAAGAGAAAGGAGGATGGTTGGAGACCGTGGCAAGTCTTCGTAAAATTCAGCCACCTGCCACTCATGGTATTG